CTGTACCAGGGCGAGTCTGGGGGGTGAAACAGCCTGTACCAGGCCGAGTCTGGGGGGTGAAACACTCACTTGTGTGGCAGTTCACAACCCACCTATGGCAGCCTAGAGCAGCCTGAGGACACTAAGCTACAAAATTAAAAATGATCAGAATTCAACACAGTCTTGTTTTCCCATCTCGCTACATTTCAGCAGCTGAAAAGGCTTAAACACAACCACCCCCCCCCTCCACCAAATTTTATCAGCGGTTTAATTTAGTCATTTAGTCACAAAATAAAAACCAAATCACGGCTTATTCATTCTTATTCATTCCCAAAACCCAACACAACAGCTTGGGTATCTCCCCAGGGAATGTTAAAGCTTTCAGAAGAGACAGGAATCTCCAAATCAGTGTTGCTTAGAATGGATTATGTGACAGGAGAATGAGTGCTAATTAATTTAACAACATTTAACAGCCACTCATTTATTTAGGATCAGTCTCACCTCTGATCACTGAAATTAACCATAATTCCATCCAATTTCAGTTCCCACTTATCCTGTAAATGTTCCTGGTGAACTTGGGAGTCTCTCCCAGAAACTGGATTCACCATCACAGGGTACTAGGCAGAGGGATACCCTGGACGGGATGCCAGTCCATCACAGGGCACGAGGCAGGGGGACACCCTGGACGGGATGCCAGTCCATCACAGGTACACTGTGGGTAACTCTGGGATGAAACTGGAGGAAACTCTACACGTATAACTGGGGGAGGGAATGAAAACTCCAAGCCTGGAGCAGTGAGGCCACAGCGTCACTTATACCTAGAATTTCTGGGCACTTTCCTGAAACACACTCTCAATTTTTAAACCGCCCTTAAAGTCTTTTTTTTTCACCTCCCTGCAACTACCCCCAATATGTGCTAAAAAACTGGGAAAAAAAAGTTTTCTATGTGTTTCTTGTTATCATATACAAAACTTTAATTTTAAAGGAAATGACATCATAAAACGTTGCTGGGAGATGCAGGACCCTCAGGGCCGAGGGAGATATGTGTCAAAGTCAGGGAGCTCCGTAGAATCGTTGTCCAGGTACTCGAGGATGATGTTTCCCCCGTTGAAGAGCGGGACGTCTGGGTGGGACAGCAGTGAGAGCAGGGTATCATCCATCTTCAAGACCCTGCCCGTCTGCGGGTGGCACAGTCTCAGCTTCTGAGGGCAGGAGGCAGGACGAATTCAGATGAAAGTGACATGATACATGCAAGGAGGGTACAAACCATCGGTGGCATCTGCTACGTTCTGGAAACGGGCAGACCTGGTCAATGTCAAATAAAGTCAAACATCATGTCAGCTGGTTTCTGCACGCCTATCTGGAACAAGCTGTTCAACACACACCCAACTGAACGCGACCGTGGAAGCCAATGGAGTCAATGTGAGCCAGCATCCCTGTGGGAACATTCTGATGAGGGACGGCATCCTAACTCACCGAGCTATCGCTGTACTCTGACATCTTTGCTTGTAGATGTGCCTTTATGTGCATATGAGTGAGAGAACCCAGTGGGCGTGGTTCCATTAAATTAGTGCATATGAGTGAGAGAACCCAGTGGGCGTGGTTCCATTAACTTAAGGCTCTGCACACAGACCGGGAGAAGGCGACCTGAAAC